AGAAGGGGAGATACTTGTTTGTTTATGACAGCATCTAAGAAGGACTGGGGATGAGGTACAGGGGTGGTGAGTGGAAGAGAAGCATTTGCCGAGGTGGAAGGGTGGGTAAGGGTGGAGGAAGGGACAGGAAGCGGTAGTGTAGGTGTTGAGGGTTGTGTGGGGGGCTGTTGTTTGGATGGGGTTGGGGACTCTCTCTCACTAGGTTTCTCTCTCATGATTTTTTTTTTTCATTTTAGATGGATGGGTAAAGGCTGTTTCCACTAGTTTATTTGTCTTATGCTCAAGCTTCATCAATTCCCTTCTTATATCATGCGGCAATCCAAGATCATCATTTGATCAAACCAATTACTTTTTATTGCAAAGTGTTTGGAGTTGTGCGCATAAGATGTGATCAAGCAATCAAGACCTTTCTTTAATATTTGGTTAATTTTTCCGAAAGGTAATCACACGTATCTACTTTAGAGTTGTTTATATTATTATTGAATGATTAATTGTTCAAATGCTTTAATTTATATGTATGATTAATGTATACAATTTCATGGTTTGATCAGATTAATGTCTTGTTATTATTGTTGTATATGATGAATCATATAAATATGTTAGGGCTTTTAATGTTGTTGTTATAGGGAGTATTGTTTTATTGAGTTTTTAGGGTTGTTAGTGCAGAGTTTTATTTTTGGGTGGAGATTTGATTATATTTGGGTAACTAGTATGATTGCCCTATAAGAGTTGAGATATACTACGATTGGATCGAGTTCGAATTATTATATTATTTGGGAACATGTGCCAATATTGAGAATTTATTATCATGTGAATTATTATTTGATCAATGTATGAGATCAAAAGGTTGAGGAATTATTATTTTGTTCTTGGTCTGAGGCTCAATGTTGTATACCTTAGTTCTTGGCATGTTGGTAAGCGGATGATAATCATGAGTTAAGAATGAGGTACAATCTTTATTATTTATTTTTATATGGTCCCCTACTGTGGGAATTGGCCCGTATGTGGTCTGGTTTAAGGTGTTTTTTCTGGTTATTGAGAGTATTCAAGTTTTTATACTTGTTGGTTTGTTATTTGAATACCCATGTCCAAGGCTAGGTATAAAACAAAGAGCATGGAACAATTATTGGTTATGAGTTAATTGAGTGAAGGATTGTATTATTATTCGAGGTTGGGTTTGACAAAGTTTATTTCCAGAGTACTATGTGTAATGTAGTTTCGAACTACATTGTTTAAGTGAGTTAATTATATTAATTATTATATTATTCTTTGTGTTATGATAAGTGGTGATTACTCAGCTTTTTGCTGACGTGTGTATTGTTTTGTTGTGCTATTTGTGTTTGCGGCCATGTCGTTTTCTTATGGTGGCCCTGCGACGATCTATTTTGGAATTTGTCCTTAATGGTGAGCAGTCAAATTGTTTAAGCAGGTTGATCAAGTGATCGTAGCTAAAGGAGCTCAAGTGTCTCGATTAGTTTGTTATAACAAGTTTGTAAAGTTGTATAAATAGCTCACTTAGATTATTGGGTTGTAATTATTGGGATTTGTAAGCCTTAACACTTGACAGGTTGTTGAGTGTGATATTAATACCTCCGATTTAGGTGTATGCTACTGCACTTTTATTTAAAGGTTGTCTATTTTTCCTTTATTTAATTATTGTTTATTATTAGCTAGTAAATTGGGGTGCTTCTCCGGTGGTCAAGCGTTTCTATATAGGCTGGCGTTCGCCTGGCTACGTGGCTGGATTCGGCTAGGCATGGTGCTCAGTCAAGCTGCTCCGGCGGTAGGACAAGCAGGGATAGCAGGTGTGACAGTTCGGGGAGGGTTGGTGGCTGGAACGTGTAATAGTTGCATCGGTCTGGGTATCGGTCTAGGTGCATCGGCGGCGCTACTATGGCTGGGCTTTGGCCAAGACGCAGCGACATGTTGTTGTGGTGGTCGGGCTGCGTGTCTGGCTGCTGTAGTGGCGGTAACGTGGTCGGGCAACGGATCAAATCAGTCACGGTTCCGTATTTTTGAAACTTAGATTAATTTATCGGATTGGGGCGGGTAGTTTTAGGGGGAGAGGAGCGGGAATTGGGGTGGTTTTAGGGGAAGGAGATGTGGTTTTTGCTAGGTGGGAAGTGGGGAGGGTCGACGGTCAGTTTCCAACTGTGGAGGTGGGAAGTGGGGCTTTCGGAGGGTCAGTTGACAAGGTGGCTTGGGGTGGCGTAGGGGTTGGGATGCCAAGGATTCTAGACCATTTTTAAAAATTCTTTTTATTTGGACCAATCACTAAGTGACATGTGTCACTTAATTTATTTTTTTTAAGAAAATAACCTAATGTACAGGTTATCGGTCAAAGAGGACCAATAGAAGCGAATGTCTTATAAAGGTGGGATAAGCTCTTGCAGCAACAAAACGAGGTACACATTTGGCAATCTGCTTCATGCCCTTCTGTTTTGATAGACCGACATGAGGTAAATTTGCTTTATTGACTTTTGCTTGTTAAATTCTTCCTACAATACAAGTTGAAAGTTTGTTGGATTAAATTCTTGTTAAACTTACCTATCTTTTTTTTGCTGACTTATGACGCTGCCTTACCTATTGAATGGCATCTTTACGTCCCTTCTATGTTGCCACCCTGTTTTGTTAATCAGATTCGACATTTTTTGTTTTTTGTTTCTGACATTTGTTTATATTTTTGTTTGTATATTTTTGTTTCTAACAAATGAGTTGTATTTTTATGGAAAAAATACACTTTAATAATCCCAACTATTAGCAATTTACTTTTAATAATCCTAACTAAGGTTTATTATCTAATAATCCTAACTATGGGGTATGTTTGCCTTCAATAGTCCCAAGCGGTCAACGACTGGTCAATAACCTGTTATAAGAGGTAATTAGGACACATGTCAACACGTGACAGGTTCAAATTTTATTTAAAAATAAAGGAAAAAAAAAAACCAAAAACCTCACAACCACCATTCCCCTCGGCGTACAACCTAAGATATAAGCCCCATTACACCGGTAACTACCGCCCGACCCATCCTAATCCCCAAAACAACCTTAGTCGGCCTATTCTCACCCCTAAACCAACCCATCGTTCCGACAAATTGTTTGAATCAGTTTCAATAATGTGCTGTTATAAAAAAATATAATCATCTTATAAAAAAAAAAAAAAAATTGAAGATGAAATGCACATCTTAAAATTTGAGAAGAGAAAAAAATATTTAATAACTACCTTCATAATTATTTAATTATTAACCATATTGCTATTACTTATATCTTATATTCGTAGACATAAATCCAATATTTATAAGAGGAGTCCCATAAATCTAATATTTATAAGAAGAGTCTCATATTAAGAGAAGTTCTCATATTAAAGAGCTGTATAATTTCACGTAATTTACTAATGTATATAAATAATTATATAATTTGTTTCATGTAGATTGAAATCCACTGAAAAAATGCTAGATTTGTTCTTGCATAAGAGATTACTTAATTAACTAAATTTTCAATTGAGTAAAATTGTTGTGATTATCGTAATATATTGAATTTATTATTGTGTTTTCTTAACTTATACTTGTATAAAAGTACTAATAATTAACTAAATTTTGTTTCAATTTATTCTTGATAAGTATAGACATAAAAAAATATATATAAAAAAAATTATTCACAACAAAGATCTTGAAACTTAGATAGCATCGATTTGTTAATGCTTATTGTATACCTTTAATTAATCGTGACATTGTCTTAAATTTCATGTTTTTGACATAGTATCAAAATGATAAAATGGAATATAGAGCTCATACTTGTAATTTATGTTAATAATTAATGGATGTGTTTAGAGTTGCAGAAGATGTTAAGATTCTTGTTAATGCATTGAGAGTGATTTGAGACACATAATTGTGTAAAGTATATATTTGAATTGAAGCTAGCTATGCTTTTCTTTATGATAAAAATTTATGGCCAAATATCATAAATACATTTGATCAATCTCATAACAATTTGAACATATTAACAATTTAGGTGTATGCTTCCGCACTTTTATTTAAATTCTAATAATTTTGTTTCAATTTATTCTTGATAAGTATAGACATAAATACATTTGATCAATCTCATAACAATTTGAGCATATTAACATGGGCATGTACTTTCTTTCCAGGAGTAGTTAGTTTAGTAATCAAAGCATTTAACTTATTTACAGAGTGAGATCGAGCAGAAAAATAAACGGTTAATGTTGATTATTAAATTAGTTATACTATGAAAATTATGCGTGCAATAATTTTTCTTTATTTCAAATTTATTTTTATAGGTATACACGGATATTTACGGTTCATTTAAGATTTTTTTGTTGAGGAAAAAAAAAAAAAAAAAAAAACTAATCTTAGTTCCCAATTAACAAAGGTCATAAGGATACAATTCCGGAATATATTATCCAATGTGTCATTGAAATTCCACTTTCTCTATTAAATCACTAATCAACTTATTGTTAAATTGCCAGCAGTACAAAACAAAATACCAATAGCAAACAAACTTAGGGTTCATACATGTAGTAGCTTATTAGTTTATTATGTATGGGTAGTGTGGCTTGTAAAAATTTTATTATTCTAAAATTAATGTATTCTCCAATCTCCATTAGAATAAAATGCTTTTACCTAAAAAATTTCAACCATGTAATTAGATACTACTAAAATGTGTGAATATGTAGTCAATTGTGAAGGAATAATAGACACCAAGTGTCACAACATTTTATAAGTAATGCAACAATTGCGCCCTGCCTTAATTACGACGTTCCTCCCATAGTAATGTCTAAAAATATCTAAAACATGAAGAAATGTGACAATTTCATTTTAATGAATTCCATAGTTCAAGAAAACACTAAAATTAATCAAGAAAAGTTGTATCATTAAAGAGAAAATTTCTATTTTGATTTTCCTTAACACAAACATAAATAATTCAATTTAGTTTTGAGATTTTGACAAAAGAGATAGAAGAGAGGTAGAATCTTATTGAAAATGAGCCAAGAGCAACCACAAAGACCTTGTGAAGACCAACAAGAGTTGATCAAATATGGTGTTGTTTTCTCAACCGTGTTAAACAAATTACCTCAACAAGCTTTTCAGGTCATTTAAATTCTACATTAGTGAATATATTTCATTTGTGAACCACATTTCGACAAAAATTATTAAAAAAAAAATGATTCACAACAAAGATCTTGAAACTTAGATAGCATCGATTTGTTAATGCTTATTGTATACCTTTAATTAATCGTATCATTGTCTAAAATTTCATGTTTTTGACATAACATCAAAATGATAAAATAGAATATAGAGCTCATAATTGTAATTTATGTTAATAATTAATGGATGTGATTAGAGTTGCAGAAGATGTGAAGATTCTTGTTAATGCATTGAGAGTGATTTGAGACACATACTTCTATAAAGTATATATTTGAATTGAAGCTACCTATGTTTTTCATTATGATAAAAATTTATGGTCAAAATTCTACATTAGTGAAAAGTTGACTTAAGAAATAACAACCGCGAACATCATTGGGGGATGATGGATCTAGTAGTAACGTTTTTTTGTGCATAAATGCATGAATTTGCAGGGTGTTTCTGATGGCAAAAACAGGAGTGACTGTGAAAAAGGGCCAGCAGCAACCCCATCAGCATACAAAGAGCTATGTCCAATAACAATAGGGGTGGCCCTCCAAGCAACAGTATTAACCGCAGGCCAGAAGGCAGTGGATCGAAGTGATGCAGCTGCCATTCAGGCAGCTGAGGTTAGAGCCACTGGCCAAACCAACATCATGCCTGGTGGACTTGCTGCGACTGCTCAATCTGCTGCGCAATTCAATGCTAAGCCCACCACACAGGAGAAGACTACCCTTGCTGATGTACTCTCGGTAATCTATAAAGACTAGCACATACATATTTGTATTTTGTTTCCATTCTTGTTTTGACATATATATAGGAGGGCACAAAAACTGAAGACTTCATACTGTGTCTGAAATGCAATTTAGTTCTATTTTTATAGCATTATTGAAGGCTTCACTAATGTAAATGTATCTACCATTTATGCACTAGTACTGTTTTTCATAACTGCATGCTAATTAGATAAGATGCATGACTCAAATGACCAGCTGCACACGGTTGTGTGGCTTCATTGCTTCCCTGTTCCACCATTTCTCTTCGTCTTCACAAACAAACACCAGGACCCCATACATGTTCCTTATTTGGACTAACTAGGTCTTGTGCATGATTAAGTGAACTTGTCAAGGGTAAGTAAGCATCCACAATGCTACAAGCTCTATAGGACAAGCAAAAATTTTGAGGACAACTGAGATATCTAGAGCCATATAACACAATGAATACATGCTCAATCTGTCAATTTTTCCATGTTTTGGCAAATGTGCCTCCTTTGCGACAAACATTAACAAAAAAAAAAGATAGAAAAGACCATATCAAACATAACTTTATGCACCTACACTTGAATAATCTCACTATTCATGATCATCTGACATCTAAAGTGTTTCCCTATGACAGGAAGCAGCAGCAAAATTACCGAAAGATAGGCCAGTGACTAGGCAAGATGCAGAAGGTGTGATGGGTGCTGAACTCAGAAACAACCCTAACATAAGCACATACCCTGGTGGAGTTGCGGCTTCTGTGGTGGCAGCTGCCAGGATTAACCAAAGTAATGAGCAGCTTAGCAAATAACACCCCCTCTGTATATATGCATCTAGAATTTTGCATATCTGCTGATTTAGAACATATTTCCAGTGATATTTACATTACATATGGTTTACATCTCTTTTCCTAGTCTATGAACTATTTTTACCACCTTTTATTATTATCAATAGTTTTAGATTAGAAATGTTGAAGTGTTTTTTGAACCTTTAAAAGTTTGAAGATACCAATTAAAGGAGTTCGACTGAAGAGGCAGTTGTAAATACAGAATTGTTCTAAAGTATGTACACTGAACCCACAACTAACGATTTAGGAGTAGATAGAAACATAGCAGAAGCTTTTGGTATACAAATATGAAACTCGCATTTAATTATCATCATCTTGGTTTTGAATTAAGGGAAGTGAGTCTGACTTAGTGCTAACGTGATGCTTATCACTAAATTGGCCGGTACTTTCAAACAAATTGGTATTGAGGAACGGAGGTTGAGTTGGTGTTGGTATCTCGCAATTTTCACTAGTTAGCATGTCAACCACCTGAGCCATGGATGGTCTCAAAGGGACTGAAGCTTGAGTGCAGAGAAGACCTATATGAAGCACTTTTAATACCTCCTCCTTAAACTCGGTACCCAAGTAGGGGTCAACACATTCATAGTGTGCCTAATCTGTAGAGATTCCAAACCTGTAAAACAACAAGAAGTCTCAGTAATAATATTCACAATGAAGAAACCGAGATCAAAATATTAGTTTCATACACAATGTAAGGAGAATTGAAGCATACTGATTGTAGAAGGGATTGTGACTCCTGTATGAAGACGTTCTTCCTACTACTTATTATCTCAAGAACAAGTACCCCAAAACTGTAAACATCTGCTTTCTCAGTAAGTTGTCCTCGCACCAAGTACTCTGGAGCCATGTATCCACTGCACCATCAACAAAATCCCTAACTAGTCATGTCTTAAGATACATAGGGGAATTTAGGCCTCGTTCTCTTCAACTTAGAACAAAAAATTCAATAAAAAAATCAGTTATTTCAGAGGAAAAATCAGTCTGTTAAAACCATCAGTTCAGTGAAGGAGAAGAGAACCAAGCCGGATATATCAGCAAGTAAAGTAAGTGGCTTATTAGGAGTTGAAGCAGGAACTAACTTTTCAATTCAGAAAAAATACACAACAGATTGGTTTTTGATGACTTACAGTGTGCCAGCAATTCCAGTACTCAGATGACTCCTGCCTGAAGCAATAGACCTCACCAAACCAAAATCTGTAATCTTTGGAGTAAAATCTTCGTCAAGAAGAATATTGCTGCATTTTATGTCCCTATGTATTATTCGCGTTTCAGTACCACCATGCAGATATGCCAAACCTTCAGCTGATCCCACGATTATTTGTACTCTTTGCTTCCAATCCAAACTCTGAGCTCCTTTTCACAGAATAAACATTTAATGAACCAAAAAATATCATGCAAGTATGTGCACTTGAAAAGCTTTATGGGTTGGAAAAGGGAGAGGGTGGAACCAATGTAATATTACCAAAGAGATGGTGATCAAGACTCTTCTTAGGAACGAACTCGTACACCAGGAGACTTTCAGGCCCTTCAATGCTACATCCTAGAAGTTTAACAAGATTCTTATGTTGAACATGTCTGGTTAAGTTTACTTCATTGAAGAACTCATTCGCCCACTGTGTTGTGTTGAAAAACAGTCGCTTAACAGCGACTGCTTGACCATTTGGAAGTGTTCCCTTGAATACAATTCCTGCTCCACCTTGGCCAAGTTTATTCGATAGGTCAAAAAAATTTGTTGCTTCCTCGAGGACTTCATATTTGAATTTTAGACCGAGTTTTGCAAACCTTCTGTTGACTTCATTTTCTTCTGTCAATGCATGAAAAAGTTTTTATGAGGACCTAGTCAGTAAAAAGAATGACAAATATTATTAATGGACTGCAAAAGATTAGCATACCTTTTTTCCATTTGGAGTATCTTATATAAACCAAATAAGAAGAGAATGAAAGGAAAATGAGCATTGCAGCTGAAGCCAAAATTACGGCAGCAATATATCCATGTCTGTGCAACCCTGAAAATGAAGCATAAAATAAACATTTCAAAGCCATAAAATCATTCAATATAACAAAAACAATTACCATGATGACCTCCTACACAATTCAATATAAACATTCCAATTACCATAAAATCATTCAATATAACAAAAACAATTAAAATTTCAAAGCCATGAATCCTACCCAATGCAATGTCTTGAGAGATTTATATGCATGCAACATTAGCAAAAGACATAATGGATGATAACACCAACAATCATATGATGAAATTTGCCAATAAAAAGCTTACCATGATGACCTCCGGTATGATTGTGATCACCATAGAACTTGTAAGTTGAATACCTCAGATAACAACCGGCATTAAAACCCCTGCCTTCCCTACTCGGTACACACTGCGTGATCTGTTCACTTGCCTTGTTTAAGCAAGCCTTACACCCAGTAGCATTGACAGTCTCCCAACACTGAGCCAACGCGTACAACTTGTTCATTCTTTTCCTATCATTAACCTCAGCCACTCCAAATCCACCATTTTTCAACCCTTTTTCCATCGCCTCATCAATGACAGCCTTCACACTCTTAGAAAACTCGGACCTCTGATTTACATTCACCTTACCATAGTTTGTGCTGCAGTTTCTTCCATTCAACTTGGGGTTCAAGGGTTCTTCATAAAAACTATAGTTATCATATCTAAGGAAACACCCGTCCAAGAAAAGGGAGGCAGACACCGAAGGGATACAAGTTGGGAGCCTAGTACGACTAGCAGCAAAGCAAAGTTGACAATCAGTTTGAGAAAGGTCTTCATAGCACTGAATTAGGCCAAACATAGGTGACTTTACATTCGATGAGTTTGTCGAAAAAGAAGCCCAACTCCGAGTATTTATCCTTTGAGCAAGATTGTACATATCCTCAACAAATTTAGGGATGAACTGGGAGTATGTTTGCTCTCTGTACGTCCCACAGTAAAGCCGGGCTTGCGAGGCTCGAGGATCAGCATGATAGTGAGGGAAGAGGGACAGGTAGAACAAGAAAAAGAGCTGCAAAGGTAGACATGCAGGATATGTATATATAATCTGCATGTCAGCAAAGTTATTGGTTCTTTTCTGCTGAATGTTTTATTTCTGATTGTTGTTTAATCAACTGTAAAGCTTTAACTGATGTATACATTATATGGCTTTTGATTTACGATGAGCTTAAAGACATAGTCAATTTCAACTGCAAAATTAGAACCTTATAACGACAGGAGTTTGAAATATGACTTACCTTAGCTTAAAGTCAAGAATGGCGTTCTGAAACTTCCAACAGTTCCTAATATAATGCATGACTTGCCCACTAAAGAACCTTCTCCTATGATATTTTCGACGAGTTGACATTGTACGTGTAATAATTCAAAATTTCCGTTAATATAACAATAGACATTTATCTAGACATGGTCATTCAAGTCCATTCTAAATTTCTAGTACATAGCTTGATGATAACATGAACAAATACTCAGCAGCTCGTACGAAAATAAGATATCGGCTCTTAACAGATTACATCAATGAAAGACCTAAGCTTATAGTATGTACGCTTCATTGTCATATTTTGATGTATGGTAGTGGATTCAAAGGAAGAGATACTCTGATATAGGTATAAATAACAATCAAAAGCTTTCACATCAGATTTAAAATACAGTTAGCACTTCTACCTTTCAATCTTTCATCAACTCATTTTTATCCGCGACAGTAAAAATCCTATATCATATCGTTTATCTTATGTTGAAGTAGTGTAGCACTCTTACTGCAAATGTTACAACCCGCAAATGTTACGTGCCACAGAAATTAAATGGACTAACATTGAATTAAGAATAAACCTAATTGATTATGACAACGGTGATTACAGAGCATGAAAAAATTAGACAAAATGATTTTACAACTGTACCTTTTGTTCATTCACCTATGATATAATGTACAAGATTTGCTATATGAAATGCTGCAAAATGAATCACTATAATACAGTGAACTATGGAGGACCAAAAAGAAAATTCCTCGTCTACATCGGAAAACTGAAGAATGCTGACTAGCCGCGTGATTGCTCCTCAATACTTTTCTAAGATTAACCAGATTGAGTTAATTTCCGTAGCCCCAAAATCTCACTGATAAATCTAAGCAGGACCTGTATCAACTCCCTCACTCTAGGTTCCCTGCCAATGGATGTACAAATAAATTTAGCAAAAATAAATAAGTCCACGCTTAATAAAAGGCAGATCTACAACAGAGCACTCCATTAGAGAACAAATGACAGAAAATCATGGCATACAGTCAGAAAACAACTAGCTAAGTTCAGGCCAGGGAAAATGTACTTGAAAGACAAGGCAAACAAAGCACAGCTTAACTACTACATATAAATCTTGAAATTTTGCAAATGCTCAAGACGGACCATGTAATAGATGGTTTTTTCATCATTATTTCCTCAATATAACGTTAGAAAAAGCAATCATCTCACCTAGAAGTGACGAGTTCACAAAAGGATGGATGGAGAACAAGGAGGTGAGCTCGACCATCATGATTCCCTTCTGTTGTAATACCATATTTAAGATGCGGATGCAAAGGCAGAATAGATGCAGCGTCGGGGTGAATTGATAGGCGGGCAAGCTCTTCAAGGATAAACACAACTTCTTCAAGCCTTGCTGAAGGAAATGGTCGTTCGCCTGCAGGGAAAGTTAAGCGCTTCATGAGCACCAACTAAAAATACAAGGATCTTCAAAATGAATATGGAAATCACGCAATACGGATTCCTCCACTTGAAAACTTTCAAAGGCAGTAATCATAAGTTTTTCAAATCTGAAGTACATAAAATCATCAATTAAAGCTACAAACCTAAATCAGCCTCGTCTATGAGAAATCTGTTAAAAATGTGTTCACATCTCTCCAAGAGCACCATGATAGCAATTTTGCTGACCTCAGATCGTGTTGCGTTCCATTTATCAACCTCAGTCTCAAAA